AAAATGTATTTGGCACATTATCTTGCACTTTAATATTGGACATTATTTACGCTCACTTGGTATGTTAGCGTTAATTTTGCATTTTGGGATAGGAGCGCTTGTATATATATATATATATATATTGCAACAAGGACACTCCACTGTAGACCGGAGGTGCAAGTAAGATGCAGTTTATTTGCTTTCAAAACGGTAGATAACACGAAATCCAACATAAATAGCTTGCTGTAGCATATAACAGATAAGGGCTCACCGACATCTGTCTCTCTTGCAGCACTGCTGCTCCGCCCTCAATCTTTAGGGCCACTGTCTTGTTCCTCCAGACAACGGCAATAACATGCCAATCCTCTCAATATGGTTCACAAACCCGCAGCTCCCTGCTGCACTGGCCTCCCCACTGACTCCAGGGTGGAGCTCTCCTGACTCACAGGTGGGGCCCTGAACACATCCCAGCACACTCTTCATGAGGGATGTACACAGGTGCACAATTAGGTGCTGGTCACCACCAAAGCATGGACCCAGGAATGGAGATTTCGTCCCACCCAGAGCTCTAAGAAATCTCCTGGCTCCAGGATCCCAACTATGATCCAGAAAACCTGGAAAGAACTGAAAAGGCAGTTCTCTCCTGGTACACATAATGTCTTCCTGGAGCCACTCAGCCCCTCTGGCTGAGAACCCTGGGTGACTTTGAGGCCACCTAACACCGTGGTATTGCCTCACAATGCCACAATATATATATTATATTGCCAAAAGTATTGGGACGCCTGCTTTTAGACGCACATGAACTTTAATGGCGTCCCAGTCTTGCTCCAAAGAGTTCAATATTGAGTTGGCCCACCCTTTGCAGCTAGAACAGCTTCAACTCTTCTGGGAAGGCGTTCACAATGTATAGGAGTGTGTCTATGGGAATGTTTGACCATTCTTCCAGAAGCATTTGTGAGGTCAGATACTGATGTTGGACGAGAAGGTCTAGCTCGCAGTATCTGCTCTAATTTATCCCAATGGTGTTCTGTCAGGTTGAGGTCAGGACTCTGTGCAGGCCAGTCAAGTTCCTCCACCCCAAACTCGCTCATCCATGTCTTTATGGACCTTGCTTTGTGCACTGGTGCACAGTCATGTTGGAACAGGAAGGGACCATCCAGAAACTGTTCCCACAAAGTTGGGAGCATGAAATTGTCCAAAATGCCTTGGTATGCTGATGCCTTAAGAGTTCCCTTCACTGGAACTAAGGGGCCCAGCCCAACCAATGAAAAACAACCCCACACCATAATCCCATAATCTTTATTGTGCCACTTTTCCCTTGGCACAATAAAGTCAGGCAAGCACCATTCTCCTGGCAACCGCCAAACCCAGACACGTCCATTGGATTGCCAGACAGAGAAGCGGGATTCGTCACTCCAGAGAACACGTCTCCGACTCGAAACGACAGGGGACGTAACGTGCTGATGACGTAGGACGCCGGACCGTGACTCCGCCCACAAGCCCGACACGCTATGGAGCAGCAACGGCCAGAGACGCCGACTTGTTCGTATTGCCTCTCAGTCTCCTCTCGCACCTTCCCCCGGCATTGGAGTACCCAACAACGGCTGGAGACGCCTACATCGCCCCGAGTTGTCTCCCTGCCGTTTTCTGCACCCTCTCCGGGCCCTGGACCCTCTCTCCTCCTCAATAATCTTCCCCTGTGGCCCCCCTCGGATCCACACCGCTGAAGTAACAGCAGAACAACATCTGGCTCCCCCATTTTTTTGCCCCAAGGGACCTGCAAATTCATCAGAGCTACATAACCCGGCAGATGGGGGGAAAGGAAAAAAAACAACAGCAACAGAAAAAGATACAGATTACAGCACAGCAGACGCCGTCAGAGATGACAACAAGGAACAGAAGCTCCACGCCAAGGATTGGATCCTATTTCTCAGGTACTCAGCCGAGGTTGTCACTAGAGGGGGGCTCTAAGCATGGGACATTGGTATCTCCTGCTAAATGGAATTGCAAGGGGCATGACATTATAATTTGAAGGGAATGTATATGCACGTACACATGCTGAAACACATGCTGGAACATCACCCAGGGGGAGAGAAGAGGTGCAAAAGGAGATAGAGCAGAGTGCAGTCAGTTTTACAACTGGAAGTATGCAAGTACAGGAGAAGGAACAAGAGGGTGGAAGACAACAGGATATAGGAGACTGCCTGAGATCCCTCCCAAATAAAGAGGATATAGAAAGATATATTACCAGGCTGGAAATGACATATAAAGAAGAGATAAAGGACTTAAAAGCAGATATCATACATATAGGAGAAAGAGTGAGAGGACTGGAGGAAAGTTTGGATATATGCACCTCCAGAGTGGAGATACAACAGCAAGTCATTAACAGGCACTCCTCCCTGCACCAAGACATGATATACAAAATAGACGATATGGAAAACAGGAGTAGGCGCAACAATATAAGGATACGTGGAATCCCAGAGACAATAGAGACTCCTAATCTGTTATTAACAACTAAGGCTATATTGAAAGACACAATGGACAGAAGCCCGGAAGGAGCGTTGATAGTAGATGGGGTGTATAGAGTACCAGGCTACCTCAAAGGAGAACCCACAGGGCCTAGAGACGTTATCTGTCGCCTACACTACTATAATGAAAAGGAAACCATCCTATCAGCTGCTAGAGCTAAGAAATCAACAACATATGATGGTCAGGAGATAACCATCTTCCCTGATCTCTCAAAACAAACCCTGACGCTCAGAAGGGCATTGCAACCCGTATTGGGAATACTGCAGGAAAGGGAAATAAGATATAGATGGGGATTACAAAACAAACCCTGACGCTCAGAAGGGCACTGAAACCTGTATTAGGAATTCTGCAGGAAAAGGAAATAAGATATAGATGGGGATTTCCCTTTCAGCTAAGAGCAAGTAGGAATGGAAAAACAGCAATATTCAGGGTAATAGACGATTTACCAAGATTCTTGGATACCCTGGAATTACCTTTAATGCAACTACCGGACTGGCCAATGGATTTAAATAAGGCTGAGGAACCAGGGTTGCCACCTTTTCTTCAAGCGAAACCTGAACACTCTAGCGACATTAGGACATATTTTTTGGGGAGAATGAGTCGTGGCTTATTCATATGTAAAAGGAACCACCCATTAATATGTAAATATCACAATAGAGACTATTTTTAGTAGGGGACCAGTACCCCTATCTTAATTTTGGTTGCCCCTGTCTGCCTGACATCTTGTGTCCAGGTTCCTGGTGCCATGAAACCCGGACACAGCATTCAAAACCCGAACTGTCCGGGTGAATCCTGGACAGGTGGCAACCCTATGAGGAACCCCCAAAAGGAAGGTGGACAGTAGTAAGGCCCCGCAGAGCTCCTAAGAAATTAATAAAGGAAAAGGAAAAATAAAGGAACTGAATGAATTTAAAGAGGGGAAAAAAACACTGACTATATGAAAGAAAGGGGGTATTTAGTCCAAGTATATATAGCTATACTTTGTCTTCCAGGAGTATAGGATATAAGATGTTTGGGGTAGGGGGGAGGGGGGGAGGGAGAAAGGTGAGGAGATGGGAAGAGGGGCAACCTAAACAAGCAAATAAAACGTAAAGAAACATTGATAATAAGGCCGGAACATTAGATAAGAATTAAATGGAACGGACTTGTGGGGGAACGAGTGTTTGGCGGTGTGCCATTCGGCCCTTACAACCTCATATCAGTCCATATAATAGCACTCACAAATATAGGATAAGGGGTGGGGGATTTGAGGACACTGAGATGAGGATAGAGGATTAATGACACAGGGGTAAGATGGTCTATCTCCTACTCCTTCAAAGGAAGTTTTGAAAGAAATGAACGAAATATGGGAAATTTGGATGTAAGTAGGGGAGATTGTATGTGAGAGGGAGGTATGATATATGTTTGAGTTCTTTTTTATATATTATCTCAATTTTTATAGAATGCAATATGTAAACTGTATGAAATTAAAATGCAATAAAAATATTAACAATATAACAAAAAAACGTCTCCACTTCTCTAGAGTCCAGTGGCGGTGTGCTTTAAACCACTGCATCTGACGCTTTGCATTGCACTTGGCTTGGATGCAGCTGCTCGGCCATGGAAACCCATTCCATGAAGCTCTCTACGCACTGTTGTGCCAATCTGAAGGCCACACGAAGTTTGGAGGTCTGTAGCTATTGACAACTTCTGCGCACTGTGCACTTCAGCATGCGCCGACCCCCGCTCTGTCATTTTATATGGCCTACCACTTTGTGGCTGAGTTGCTGTTGTTCCCAGTTGCTTCCACTTTGTTATAATACCACTAGGTCAATAACAGTTGACCGTGGAATATTTAGTAGCAAGGAAATTTCACGGGACACCTGAATCCAATGATTTGGAGGAGTGACCCAATACTTTTGGTAATATAGTGTATTTTCTAATGCAAATATCTTATTCAGATATTAGACATTAATATCAGATATTAAGCAGCAGCTGAGTTTTAGTGCACAGTATTTATTTGGCATAATTTTAAGTTCTTTTCACGCTGTATACATACTTATATATTTAAAGAAGGAAGAGAAGCAGGTCTTATGGTTCCCCATAACCAATAGTGTGGGTATATTTATTTGTTCCTGGCAGTGTAATGGAGCAATGGAGACGCTAAATTATAATAAGTATAAGCTGTTGGTGGTGCACTGCATGGGCAAAGCACAGGTTTGCTGTAACATCAAATAATCTAGAATGATGGCTTTGCGGTTTCCTTTTTGGAAAGGCTATAGACACAAATCATTGAAAGGAAATGTCGTCACTGGAGTACCAGTGAGATGTGAAAACCTGGAAAGTTATTCAACCCACTATCATCGGCTCAAATCAAGCATCAATTTTGGATGCAATTTAAGCTCATAATATCTCAAAATGTTTATTTCCTAACAGAACATATGTGAGTTATTTTTTTATTTTTTTTTATAGTTATGTGCTGGTCAGGACAATGACACTGTCACACCTGAGGATGAAGATAACAATTCTACACCAGATTATAACTCTTTTATAGCACCATGTGAGAAAGCAGACGTCCGTGGATTCCGTGCCATCTTCTTGCCAATAATGTATGGAATTATTTTCAGTATTGGGCTGGCAGGGAATGGTTTAGTGATGCTGAGGTACATCTATTTCAACAGGCTAAAAACTGGAACAGATTATTACATGCTGAACTTGGCTATAGCAGACATGGTCTTCCTCATCACCTTGCCTTTCTGGGCAGCCAGCATAGTCCGTACTTGGATTTTTGGCAAAGAATTCTGCAAAGTCATATACGGCCTCTACAAAATGAGCTTCTTCAGTGGGATGTTTCTACTTATGTCCGTGAGTGTTGAAAGATACTTTGCTATTGTCCAGGCCCCCTCTGCCCACCGTCACCGGTCCAAGACAGTGTGGATCAGTAAAATCTCCAGTTTGGGCATCTGGGTTTTGGCTTTCCTCCTGTCTGTACCTGAGTTTATCTACAGTGGTGTCAAAGAGTATAATAGCGAGAAGAATTGTGTCATTTACTCTGATAACATCCAGAGCCTTAATGCTGGACTCAAGATCGCCCAGATGGCTTCTGGATTCCTTCTGCCCTTGATAATCATGTTCTTCTGTTACAGCATGATAATTGTGACACTGCTTCATGCACGTAATTTCGAGAAATACAAAGCCATCAAGGTCATCATTGCCATTGTCATTGTGTTTGTTGTCTTTCAACTTCCTTACAATTGTGTCATGTTAATTAAGGCCTTTGATAACAGCACTCAGTGTCACACCAGCAAGACCATTGATTTTGCCGACGATGTTACCTACAGCCTTGCCTGCTTGCGATGTTGCCTTAACCCATTCCTCTATGTCATCATTGGGGTCAAATTCAGAAATGACCTTTGCAAGTTCTTTAAAGACTTAGGCTGCATGAGCCAGGAAAAGTTTGCCAAATGGTCAACGGCCAAGCCAAGCAAGAGAAGCTCCTTTGCAATGGAAACCGACACAACAACAACATTTTCTCCTTAAATATTCAGAGTCAATGGACACAAGAGTCTTCTCTAAAGGATCAGTGGACTAATAACTAATAATTCCGTTTTGGAATGAAACCATCTAACAATCCTATATATCTGTAAATAGAATGCATTCAAAAAGGCTTACACAGTCACCACCATATGAAAAGATCTAAAATATACTTTTTATTGCTCACTTGAAAAATTAATACTGCCTATAAGGCACAATGTCAAACCCTAAATCTAAAGTACCCGGTCTAAAGCAAAATCATTTCTTATAGTACTCCATGGATTTGTCCATTAATATGCATAGGGGCATATTTGTAAAGCAGGGAATGTGAGGTTTCACCAAATATTTACTGGTGATGAATCAATCACTGTAATTTAAAACACATGCACCAGGAGGATTCACCTTCATTAAATATTGGGTGAAAGTCATAATCACAAATATGCCCCTTAGTATAGCGACCACCTTTACAAAGCATCAATAAAACTTTTGCACTATTTAATTAATGACATCAATATAGCACTGACAATTTACACAGAATTTTAAACACGGAGTTTGCAAGCTAAGGCCCCTATCTCACATGCATACATAGACACATTCATATAAGGGACAGTTCAGAAAGGAACCAATTAACCTACCAATGTGTGTTTGGCATGTAGGAGGAAGCCAGAGTAAACCCATGCAAGCACAGGGAGAACATGCAAACTCCATGCATATAGCATCCTGGCTGGGATTCAAACCAAGGACACTAGTGCTACTAAGCCACTGTTTTACCCATATATGTATATTCAATGTACAAGTCCACAGGTATCACACTTTACCATGTATTTTGAAAATTGCTCCTGGAAACCACAGATCAGCATTGGTTGAGGATCTGATGCGGGAATATGATTCTTGTGGGCTTAATACTATAAAGTATATAATATTTAAAAATCTATATATCTCTCCTATTAACTACCTATAGTCAGATAAAATGGTTACATTTTGAATGGCTGTGACATCCAGCAATTCTCATAATAATAATGTTTAAAACAAGACACCTTAGGCTCCATTCACACATGAGCGGTTTTCTGCAGGATTCGTTGAACAGAAAAAACAATGCATTGCAATGTGCATTGTTCAGACTATTGCGGCATCTCCCAAAATAGTCCAATCACGATTTTATGGGCATATGTTAACGTTTGCGTGGTTTCATTCCGCGTGGAAAATTCTACCGATATGTGTGAATGGAGCCTTATTGCAGCTTGGAGGTATAGCTTATGGCAGATATGAATTTGTCAGTAAGGATTCCTCTACTCTGTTGGTTGTAGCTGGTATGAGATAATCAGATTGTACTTTAAATCTCAAACATCAAATGAGCAAGCTAAACACTTTTGAGATGAAAAAAGTGGGGGTTACTCCAAACAAATGTTGTTCTCTAATGGGGTTAGATAGTCTCGAATAGTGACATTCCCATACAGAGATATATGAACCATATTTATAAAATCGAAATTGCAATATGACGATGGCATGATTGCAGATGCAAATATCCAGCAAATGGTAATATGTGGAAAGAGTTGTAAGCAATATATGAGCAGGGATTCACTTGACAAGTACTAATGCACAGCAAATAGTCTGTTTGGACATAGATGAGGCATGTATTGTCCACAAATAATATACGTATAGGAGCTGTAATTCCCAGATGCTGCTTTGTACCTGCTAATATCCAACAAATAATGTATGTGGATATAGATAAAAAAGCACTGACTGAATATAAGATGATATAGTTATGACATATAGAAATCAATATAGATGATATGGTTCTCAAATACTGCTTTACACCACACAAATGAGAACTTTCCATAACAAATGTAGTGATAGGCAATGCGGTTTCACTATATGACATCATCCATAGGCCCAGTAGCATCAAATATACATGCCACATATCTCCATTCAAATGTTATCTGGATGCCAGTATCTAAATAGCTGAAAGGATAGGAATAGGCAATGCGGTCTTACTATATGACATCATCCATAATCCCAGTAGCATCATATATATATATATAAAAAATGCCACATATCTCCATTAAAGTGCTATCTGGATGTCAGTATCTAAATATCTAAAAAGATAGGAATAGGCAATGCAGTCTCACTATATTACGTCATCCATAGTCCCAGTAGCATCAAATATGCATGCCACATATCTCCATTCAAGTGCTATCTGGATGCCAGTATCTAAATATCTCAAAGGATAGGAATAGGCAATGCGGTCTCACTATATGACATCATCCATAGTCCAAGTAGCATCAAATATATAAAAAAAATGCCACATATCTTCATTCAAGTGCTATCTGGATGCCAGTATCTAAATATCTCATAGATGGAATGAAGTAAATCCACTGTCCAAACAAGTCATAAACATCAGGAGAATCTGGTCAATGGTCCTTGTTCTGGGAGCAGGCCATATGTCTCTAATGCGTTTTGTCATAATGACATCATCAGAAGGGCATTCATTATGTAAATTAGACCTTCTATAGCCACATTTTAAGCATCCCTCTCACTCCCTCTAACTGTGTGATTAGATGTTTCATTACAAGGAAAGAAATGAGAAATCATTGTGCAGTTTGGGTTCATATTCACCTAGAGAGGGGCACATTTTAGATATTTGCCCATGGTGGTGACTGTGTAAGACTTTTTAAATGCATTCTATATGCAAGTTTATATATGACTGCACCTGTTTGACGTATAAAATATTTATTTGATAATGTACTTACTAGATGGTATCGGTATTCCTTGCTTAATTCTATCTCTCTCTTATGGACTTTATTGGTGACATCTCTGCTCTGCTTTTCTGGGTCTACCACCTTCTATGGCCATTATGAAGGGTTCCCAATCTCCCTTTTGGAATTTTATTGTATATTATGGAAAATGCCACAGGGCTAGCTTGTACACTCAAAGCTTTGGCTAGAACACTGAAAACTCACTGGTGGACAGGAGCAGAGTTGGTAATTTTTGCCTGGGGAACCTCACTATTGGAGTACCTAAGATATACAAGAAGACATGGGCTTATGCAAATCACCAAGCTCTGAAATATCAATTTGGGTGTGCTGACCCTTTAAGTGAACATGTATATATTTCTGGACAATTGTAAGGACTCACTATACCTAGCACTGATCAGAACAAACAATAAACTGACTTTTTGGAGAACAAATGACAGTTAGTCACAGCTTCTATGGCATTTTTTAGGTGAAAACCCGGCTTTCAGAAACCTGAACTGGTGTACAATAAACTCAACTCATACGCAATCTGATGAGCTATGTGAATCATCGTTTACGATTTAGAAACTACTTTTTTTTCTGCCTTACTCATAAGTGACATTTGAGACTATTACTGATTGTTATCTTATCAGCTTCTAATCAATGGTAACCAGAAAAAGTACAAGCTGAATTCCACCGACAACCTCTAAAGAGAAATGTGATATTACTAATGTGGAACTAAAAGGAGATCAGTTTAACTGACAGCGATATGAGTTATGTTGTATAGAATTTGTAGTAAAATCCCTCCAGTTCCAGACATGTTGAGGTTCTTATTATGAATAAGCTAATTTAAAGGGAACGTGGATAGTTTTTTTCATATATATGCTTTGTGTACCTTTTATGTTTAATATTAAAAAAAATAAAATCAACTTTGTTTTATTTCTTTAGAATCAACTAAATATGAAATATCACTTAAGAAGAACTCCAGGATTTATTACAATGAATCCTTGCACTGGGGACTACCTCTGCACCAGTGACGGGTAACCTTTGGTTCCGGGTGAGACATTCCCCAGCCTCGCCCCCCCCCCATGTCCCCTCCAGCCCCCAGCCTGCCGAAGCCACGCCCTTGCCTGCTGAAACTCTGCCCCCACCCACCAAAACGCCGGTCCCCAAGCTAGTGTGAAGGAGGGAGGGAGGAGGAAGGGAGGAGACAGGGAGGATCAATGGCCTCAGTGTTTTTTTCTTTTCTTTTTTTGATTGGACAGCTTGGACCAATGGTGCTTTGCCATTGGTCCAAGCCATCCACAGAGCTCACGCCTCTAACAAAGAGTAGAGGCTGTGACAGCTCTTGCCTCACTAGTTAGGTTACACAAGCAGTGGGGAAGCCCGCTGCTGTGTAACCTAACTACCTGTCAAAAGCCAGATGCAGTGCTGCCTGTAACCATGACAGGTTACACAGCGGGGAGGCTTTCCCTGCTGTGTAACAAGCCGATCTGAATGGAGAAAAAGCTGTCAGCTTCAGACTTGAAGCTGACAGCTTTTTCCTCCATAATACTAGGTAAGGCTCTGCCTCATCTGCCTCCCCTGACCACACGTCCCTGCCCTGCACTGCAAGGGTTAAGTGCTCATTTTGGTCTATGGGCAGAAATAAAGAAGAAATACTCACCTGATCCTTGATCCTGTGGCAGTGACTGCTTACCTCTCTCCGCTCCGGTTGTGGTATGTCCCTCCGCATCCTCCCGTCTAATGGACATGCATTAGACATGGCAACATGACATAGTTACATAGTTACATAGTATTTGAGGTTGAATAAAGACATTAGTCCATCAAGTCCAACCTATTAGGATCTCATTCTAGGAGTACCCGTACCCCTGTAAATTACGGTCCCTTAAGAAATCGTCCAAAAGTTTCTTGAACAATTCCACATTATTTGCTGAAATCACCGCCTGTGGCAGTGAGTTCCAGACCCTAACTGATCTTACTGTGAAGAACCCCCTTCGCCCCTTGTGCTGGAATTTTTTTTCCATCAATTTTAGGTGATGGCCTCTAGTTTTTGTAACAGAGTTAATTTTAAACAGTTTATCGCTAATGTTGCTACCACCATTAAACATTTTGTACATGGAAATCATATCCCCCCTTAATCTCCTCACCTCTAATGTGAACATGTTTAAATTTAGTAGCCTCGTCTCGTAGCTCTGGTCCTCCATACCCCTAATTAGTTTGGTTGCCCTTCGCTGGACTTTTTCCAACTCAAGGACATCTTTTCTTAGTACTGGTG